TCTCTTAGTAGGTTACTTTTTCCTTTTGATCTTCATCCTTGATTTTGATCTAGGCATTGACATTTTTAATACTGCAGCCATTGTATAAAGGTTCATTACAGAAGCTTCTCTTGAATTTATGTGCTCATATTGAAACCAGAACAGTGCTAGTTAAAATCTTGATTGAAATGCTGATGCTTGATACAAGAAAGCCAGTCAGTTGTTCAAATACAATTGAATCACCATACAGGCTTTATGGTTGCCAGAATAATGTGATGTATTCTCGTCCTCAGAATTTTGATGGTAAGATATGATGCACGCAAGTTCATAGCATCTAGTGATTCAAGTTGGCTTGTCATAAGAACACTTTAGTTTTTCTTTCCCCTTTATCTTTTTGAGGAAAAAATTCTCTTTTTGTAGGTGGTTCTTTTACTTTCTGTTTATTCTTCACAAGTTTAATATCTGGAGGAGTTTTATGGTTTGTTCAGAATTTGACTTGCATTATTTGGGTTCTAAGTTATTTCTTTTATCTTATCCTTTTTCTGTAGGAGTTCCTCCTTTGGTGTCTAGGCGAGTTCTTGAAACTCTCACTTACTTGGCCCGAAGTCATCCATATGTTGCCAAGATCTTACTTCAGTTTAAATTGCCTCTTCCCACCCTAAAAGAGCTGAGGAATATTGATCAGTCACGTGGAAAAGCTTTGATGACTGAGGAGCACGAGGAAGGATACATTTCGATTGCATTGCTTTTGAGCCTTCTCAATCAACCCCTTTACTTGAGAAGTATAGCACATCTTGAGCAGGTGATAACTGATTACCCTATTTGAAATGTGTTAAAAAATTTTATATCTTTGTGTTTATTATTTGCTCATTTACAATTTTTACTTCAGCTGCTGAACCTGTTAGATGTCATCATTGATCATGCGGAAAGGAAGCCCCCTTCATCTGAGAAATCTAGGGCAGTTTCTACTGACCAAATACCTGCTTCACAAATTGTAATGTCTGATGCTGATGTTAGTGCTGAGAATCATGATGCTCCTTCTGAAGTTTCTGAATCACCTTTAAAGATTGCTGATTTATCCACGCCCTCAACATCTGGTGCAAGTAGTGAATGTGATGCACAGATTGTGCTGACTGATCTCCCACGAGCAGAGCTCCGACTTTTATGTTCATTGCTTGCACGGGAGGGGTAAGTGATGTCTATACTATGTGTTCTTTTTTGTTGTCTATTCCATCAAAAGTCTATGTTTTCACCATTTATCTCAATGTTTTAATTGAAAAAAGGTCCCACGTTTTGATTTTCTGTAACTCATGCTTTGCAACCATGAACCAATCCCCTTCCCCCACCCCCCACCCCCGCAAAAAAAAAGAAGGAATTGACTGAATTTTCCTATCAAATAATTATTTTCTTTTCATTGTCAAATTTTGAATACGATTTAGTGCCTTCTTTCCATTTGCTCGGTCTGATGTTCTGTTTCCCACCCAGTTTGTCAGATAATGCATATGGTCTGGTGGCAGAGGTAATGAAAAAGCTGGTGGCTATTGCTCCAAGCCATTCTTATCTGTTTATTTCTGAGCTAGCAGATGCTGTACAAAATTTGATTATATCTGCCATGGACGAGTTACGAATGTTTGGTGAAGCAGTGAAAGCCATACTCAGCACAACATCTTCTGATGGAGCTGCAATTTTAAGGGTCTTACAGGCACTAAGTTCTCTTGTTACTTCAATAACTGAGAAAGGAAATGATCTTCAGCTGCTTCCTGAAACAGAGCGTTCTTCTACTCTTTCTCTGGTGTGGGATATCAATGCAGCCTTAGAACCTTTATGGATAGAGTTAAGCACTTGCATAAGCAAAATAGAGAGCTATTCAGAATCTGCACCCGATTTATTAGCTCCATCCAGGACTTCCACTTCGAGACAATCTGGTTTAACACCACCCCTTCTTGCAGGAACTCAAAACATCTTACCATATATAGAATCTTTCTTTGTGATGTGTGAGAAGTTACATTCTGGACAACCAGGTTCTGGTCATGATTTTGGCATGGCTGCACTTTCTGACATCGAAGATGCCAGCACATCTGCTGGCCAGCAGAAAACTGCTGGTCCTGTCTCAAAATTTGATGAAAAACATGTTGCCTTTGTGAAGTTTTCAGAGAAGCATAGGAAGCTGTTAAATGCTTTCATTCGCCAAAATCCTGGGCTGCTTGAGAAGTCATTTTCTCTTATGCTGAAAGTTCCCCGCTTTGTTGATTTTGATAATAAACGTGCTCACTTCAAGTCCAAAATAAAGCATCAACATGATCATCATCACAGTCCTCTAAGAATATCGGTTAGAAGAGCTTACATACTTGAGGATTCTTATAACCAACTACGGATGCGGTCGACCCAAGATTTGAAGGGGAGGTTAACTGTTCACTTCCAAGGAGAGGAAGGTATTGATGCTGGTGGGCTTACAAGGGAATGGTATCAGCTGTTGTCCAGGGTTATATTTGACAAAGGAGCATTGCTTTTCACTACAGTGGGCAATGAGTCAACATTCCAACCTAACCCCAACTCAGGCTATCAAACAGAACATCTTTCATACTTCAAATTTGCTGGGCGAGTTGTAAGTACCTTCTCTAGTTGCTGCTATTGGATTGACGCTTCTTTTCTCTAACTTTTTGTTCGGTTCCTGATTAAAAATTTCCAGGTTGGCAAAGCACTTTACGATGGGCAACTCTTGGATGTCCACTTTACTCGATCTTTCTACAAGCATATCTTAGGGGTCAAAGTTACTTACCTTGACATTGAAGCAATTGATCCTCATTACTTCAAAAACTTAAAGTGGATGCTTGAGGTCTGTCATATATCAATTTTCCTTATCTTTTCCTCTTTTTCTCAAGGAGTAGAGGGCGCAATAGAGTTTGTTAGTTTGCTGGCAATTATCTCTCATGGTTTACTAGAGAGATTTTAGTTTTGCGTACCTTTTTTTTTCCTTACTTCTTGTTTGTTTTTTCAGAATGATATTAGTGATGTCCTAGACCTTACTTTCAGCATTGATGCTGATGAGGAGAAGCTGATATTGTATGAAAGGGCACAGGTACAGATTGTAATTGATCCTTTCATGAAGCCCTTTTTGGTGACACTTATGTTATAATTATGTTCTACAAAATATGATGCAGGTGACTGACTATGAGCTGATTCCTGGTGGTCGGAACATTAAAGTTACTGAGGAGAATAAACACCAATATGTTGATTTAGTAGCTGAGCATCGTTTGACAACTGCTATTCGTCCTCAAATAAATGCATTTTTGGAAGGATTCAATGAATTAATTCCTAGGGAATTAATATCTATTTTTAATGACAAGGAGTTGGAGTTACTGATAAGTGGTCTTCCAGATATTGATCGTAAGTGTTGTAAACCAATTTATATAATGTTAATTACATGATAGAATGCTTTATCATGCCACCATCATCTAAATATGACCTGATCTGTGATAACTGTCTCCTAGTGGATGACATGAGGGTGAATACCGAGTATTCTGGGTATAGTGCAGCATCACCTGTTATACAGTGGTTTTGGGAGGTTGTTCAAGGGTTCAGCAAGGAGGATAAAGCTCGGCTTCTACAGTTTGTGACAGGCACTTCAAAGGTAATTCAACACCTAAAATTGTAGATAATCTTACTTATAATTTTACACTTAAAGTTGTTACTGAAGCTCACCCTAAAGGTTAATTATTGAATGTTTGAACTAAGATTCAGGTAGCATAAATGAGGTTTTAGTATGTAGAGATATAGCCGAGCTCTATATAAAGGTTAATTATTGAATGCTTGAACTAAGATTCAGGTAGCATAAATGAGGTTTTAGTATGTAGAGATATAGCAGAAAACTTTTGATTCATTACCTGTCCCAATCACTTAGCTATAGCTCTATATTGGTGTATAAAATAACTTAAGCTTAATAACCGATCTCAAATCTCATTTCACAGGTTCCTTTAGAAGGTTTTAGTGCACTTCAAGGAATTTCAGGTTCACAGAAGTTTCAGATACACAAAGCATATGGCAGCCCTGATCACTTGCCTTCTGCTCATACCTGGTAATCTGTCGGTCATCTCTACAATATTTGTCCGAAACAATATATTTGGTTAATTGCGCTACTTAATGATTTTCCTTTTATGAGTTTTCTGTCCTTTACTTGCAAGTTGCCTACCTTTCTTTGTTACTAAGAAGCACTTTTTTGTGATTAATGCAGTTTCAATCAATTGGATTTACCCGAGTATCCTTCTAAAGAACATCTAGAAGAGAGATTGCTGCTTGCAATTCACGAAGCCAATGAAGGTTTTGGGTTCGGTTAAGATTTGAAGTGGTAATCAGAGTCATCATGTAGATAAGATATATAGGCACTGGGATCGGGATATTGTTATGGGCTGACGTTGAATTGGTAAATGTTCATACACTGTACAGTCACATTTTGGCTATTGCAATGCCTCTGGCAGTTTTAAATTTGCCATTATTTTCGTTCATTTACCCCATTTCTTCTACTTTTTCTTTCTAATATTGCCATAGTTAAAAAGGAAAAAAAGGAGAGGCTCACTAATGAATCACCACACGTTGATTTGAGACCCTCTTTCCAGGAATCCTGCATGAAATTTGGTCATTTTGTTTCTTAAATTGTTTGATCATTATATGCTAATCCACTGATAATATATAACATTTTTATACTGTGTATAACAGCGAATCAAATGTGAACTAAAAACTTTTATGCATAGATATTAGAATAAAATCAAATACAAACTCTTGCATATATCAAATATAAACTGTTATGCATGGACATTAGAGTTTTGACCATTACTCTTTGAGTTGTGGTCTTTAGGAGTTCACGTCCGATCCAAGGGTAGTTCAAAATGATTTTTCCTTTTCTTTTGTTGTTTGCTCCATGTTTTTAACTCTTGGTCCAAATTTTTTTGGCAACGCTCTTGCTCCAAATTGACCCAACCCAAGTCAGTAGAATTCAAGCTCAAGCCAGAGAATAGTGGAATGAAGTTTTGAAGTACTTGAATCTGTCTTATTACATGAAAAAAAAAAAAAAAGAAAATAGTCGAATCCAAAAAACTTAGGTCCAACTGTTATTTACGTGATAATAATTCAGATAGGAACCGTACCGTCTATGATTGAAATGTTCAAGATTTCTTGGTTCTTGATCACAACTTGCCACAGGCAACCTGGAAGCAGGCAGTCATCTCACATGGTAAAGGTCCTGAAGTTTAGAAACTCGACAGGGTTTAAACCCTTTAATCCAAATGCAGACCGAAACCCAATTGAGAGATCATTTGCAACACCATGTGTTATATAATTTCTATCCCTACAGCACAGCTGAACAGCCTCAATCATCTTTTCCACTTCTTTTGGTTATAAAGTCAGAGTCACAATTTAACGTCTAAAGTAAATCTTCCCTAGCGCATCATCCTTGATAATGTTGTTAAGGCTATCAGGAAAGTCAACAGGCCACAAGACTACATCACTTTCCCTAAGAACCATCTTTGAAAGATGATCAGCTGCTTTATTACTCTCACGCCATGAGTGAGTAACCCGATGATTCTCAAACTTGGTTAGAAGTTTCCAGATTTGCTTCAAACAGCGACTACTCTTTGCACCATACTGCTGCTCTCGATTAATGGTTTTCACAACACTCATTGAATCAGATTCAACCCATATTACTTTAATACCTAAACCTAAAGCAAGAACAAGACCCCTCCATATAGCCCATAGTTCAACCAAGAATATATCATCTTGAGGAGCTTTAGAGACAAAAGCACATAAAGGGTCACCCTTGTAATCACGAAACAAACCACCAAAACCCGAATTTTCAGGATCTACAGATCCATCTGTATTTAATTTTATGCATCCTATCTCTGGCTTCTGCCATTTACACCATCTAATTGACCTGGTGACAGGATTTAAAAGGTCACTCCATCCCTCAATGTTCAGGTTTCTGAGAAAAACAACCCTCTCAGCTTTCTTTGGCACTGAAGATAACTTACAAGTGTCCCTGAATGGCAGGTCATCTAATCTGAGTTCATCCTCCTTGGTCTTGTGTTTCTTCCCTCGAAGGTGTTTCTTTAAACATTTTTCACTTGAAGTATTTATCAGACAAAGTACACAGCTCCATTCCCTTTGAACTCTCTTTGGATGGGTTGACCAAGTAAGATTCACCTCTGTACTGTCAGAACTGAGATCAAAATTTCCCTGGCACAGAGAAATGTGAAAAGGAAAAGGACTCACATAAAAACTCATGATAACCTGATTTAATCAAATCAAGCATAACTTCACTTACAAACAAACTATGAAATTCCTATGAATTAAAGAAGCTGTTATGGAGAAGGAAAAGAAATATTTTCATCCTTTTCCGAATTCAGTAATTTTCCCTTTTTGTTTTTACATATATACCTTCCCTTTGCGGATGCCCCAATGTTGTGTATTATTGTGTTTTTCATCCATAGATGATCTTCCTTCACTAATTATATTATTCTAAATTATCAATGCATAAACCTACCTGGCCAGTGGTAACTTTCTCCAATTTTGGCCCATTCTTGAGTCTGTTTGTATCAGCATTATAAACGATGCCATTCTGTGCTTCCGATACAACGCCCTTCGTCTTTGGCAAGAGCAGGAAATTCCATAATTTCTCTATATAATAAGGCCTGATTAAATGCTTGAAGACATACGAAGCACCGCCAAAGTAGGGTGTGACCAGCAGTATGGTAGCAACACCCTTTGCATAAGGCCAGAAAGGAAACCTACCATGATAAAAAAAGAAAAAGAAAAAACAAGCACAAAATTCACTGAGAAAATCCTAGTAAACACTGAGATTGGCATATGCAAACATGCACACTAGTGGCAGGTCTCAACTCTTACTTGTTCCATCAAATTATATAATAAGCTCATAAAATTTCCAAGCTGAACTACAAAAACAAGCGAAAACGCGATTAAACAATTTAAACTATCAATTACAACTCTAAAAGCCCAGAATTTACCACTTCAAAACCTTCCCAAGCGTCAGCTCCACCATTGCAATCAAAGCAAACAGAACCCAGTATGTCAGACATTGCTGATTTCTGAAGCAAGAATTAGTCTCTAATATCCGAATTGAAACATACCTGCAATTTAAATAGGGGAAAAAAATAAAACCATCTGGACAGATGCCAAGTTTGCAATCATATAGAATTCAAACCAAATTCCGTACATCAAAATGTAATGAGAAAGTTAAGATGAAAACTACGTACACGGGATAAATTAAAGTGAACGAAGGCCTGCAGATCAACGAAAATTAAAAAAAAAAATAGTAAACGTTAGCGACTTTGAGGCAAACACTTGATAAGCTTTGAAGAAAGCTTGACTCAAACAAGCATAAAGATTTAACATCTTATCTCATTGCAGAAGGTTTAAAGAAAATTGACAAAGAAATTAAAAAAAAAAAAAAGAGAGAAACATAATTGCATACCAACAGAGAACAGTGAAGACATTTGCTAAGAGCTCGAGAAAAACTTCCCAATTACCCATCTCTTCAGCTTCTCCTTCTGATGTTCTCTTAGTCTTGGAAATTTCCTTTTACCGACATTTTTTAAGTGGGTTTTTTCGATTTACGGGGAATAGAGTTCGGGAAAGCTGAGAGTCGATTACAGTCAAATCAAATTATCAAACTAGAGAAAAAGATAGGTTGAAATGGGAAAAAATATATGAAGACCAATCGTCACTCGAAGAAGCTGCTGTGATGTTGAATTCAGGCACTTGAGACGCAAAGCATTAATTAAAGCGCGTCTGCTCGAAAACCGTGGTAATGTTTATACTTGCTCCTTAAGGAAAGGAAGCGAATCCACCAAAAACACCATTCCGGCGTTCTCATTTGAGAAGCGAAGCATCAATTGGAGCGCGTCTGCTCGAAAACCGTTGTAATTTTTGTAGTCACTGCTTAGGGGACGGAAGCGAATGCACCAAAAACACATGTTACTTTCGTAGGAAGAAATGCCGACTACTCGTTGGAATTGGCATATAGTAGGATAGAGAGGATTTAAAAAATAGATTAGAAACGTAAAAAGAGTTAGGGAAGAAAAATCAGTACTTTATTTTTTTAATAAAAAGCTGGATATTTGGTTACCGCAACGTGATTAAAGTCTGACCTTTTTCTTTTTTTTTTTTTTGTTATGAATGATTAAAATCAAGTTTGGTAAAAATAAAATATGCAAAAATGCTAAGCCCAAAAAAGAAAAAGGAAGGTATAAAGCAAAATAAAGGAAAAGTGCACCATAAGATAAACAATGATGTCAATAATATTTGGATGGAAAGTACACATAATCCGAAGCATCGTTACTACTAAAGGTGCCAAGTTTCACCAGCAAACCCATGCCTTGCACCCAAATAGATGAAATGTATAAGTTAGAAATTGGTACCTAAGATTTATAAGTAAATAGATGAATAAATTATTTATATGCAAATTGGTTGAGTCGTACGGTTTTTTTTTTTTAAAGTAAATGAAATTGTTTAAAACATGATAGGAGATATGCTTTTTTTTTTTATTACTGCGAATGGTTAGAACAATTTTTGATTTGGTCATTACAGTTTTTTCTTTTATTCAAAAATCATTATTGTTATTCTTTAAATTATAAGATGTTTATGATCTATTTGTTGAATGCTCTTCTCTGATACTATTGAAGTACTTACATATCCGTTACTTAGAGCTATTGACACCCTTTTACCTCACACAGTTGATTGCTACCGCATTGCAATTGACACAACAAGAAGGTTTGGTTTAAATCTGTCTTAGCTTCTAAGCTTTGTTGCATCTTGACATTGTTGGTTGCCCACTTTCATATATCTGAATGTATATATCATGCGGATGAATCTATCTCTTTAACATTTATAATTTGTCACGACATTCATACATGTAAAGTCATTTCTGTTCTTTTAACATGAGGTATTTGTATTCAATGAGTTTTTTTTTTTTTTTTTTTTTTTGTGAACGAAAAAAACTTTCTCTTTACTATCCATCCAACTCTTGACCAATTAATAATCTTAACTTTTTCTTTTTCTTATATTATTGCTTTTTATTAACTGTATATATCACATTCAAACAAATATAAATTCAATAAAATATTAAAAATTATTATAACAGATACAACAAAGTCAGGCCCTCAGTGCTATTTAAAGTTTAAATAGAAAGTCTTTAATCCGAAACATCTTTACTACTAAAGGTGCCAAGTTTCACCCTACTCAAATTACAAAGTGCCTTGGAGGCGATATTCAACGTAAAGCACTTGAAGCAGCATCAGAGCCCTTGCCTTGCTACATTCCTGCAGCATATTCATGTAGAATTTGCATTTGCTGATATCACTTCCGTAGTTGCTCAGACACTGTAAGCAAACCAAGACCAAGAAGCGTTAGTCTCGAAAAGTAGCAATAAAATGCATAACAACAATTTGCACACTCAGAATTCAGGAAGCATCACTCAAAACCAAGGACTAATAAATGAAGAATACAAGGGAAGAAAGATTCATACGTCTCTTAGAGCTTTGGATTGACTACCACAAGCATCAGAGTTCGCAACAGAGTTCATTTTTGGTGAAAGAGCAGCAGCAGCTCATTCTGATGATGCGACAGTCTCACGTTTGACGACACGAGGGCCAAAAATGGCATCAGTAGCCCTGTGAGCCATAGTACTTCCAGTACTCCTGCCAAACCTACACATAGACAACGAATAAAACTGAATATAATTCGTTCAATGTTAATACTAATAGCTTATAATACTAATAGCCTATAAGCAATTACTAATTTTAAGAGCAAATAGGTTTTGACTAACCATCAGCAACAGCAGCGCCAACTCCATTACCACTTTGCACAGGTGATGGATGGAGGTGCAGAAGCAACTACAATATACAATAACAAATGAAGTTAATAAACATCACTTGGTAAAAAAAACATTTCAGAAACAATATTTCAAACAAAATTTCACTCAAATACCAAATCCGAAGAAAATCCAAATGGAACATAAAATGCTCAATAATCTGCCAAATTTTAACTCATTTCTTACTGAATTCCCTTAATTTTGTGTGAAAATACAAGTATTACGGATGAAATTGACTTCAAGTCCCTATATGATGGTAAGCTATTGGATTCCATAACATAAAAGTTGATTCCTTTGAGGTCAAAAGATTAAAACGTAACTATTAGTATGACTATTCATGCAATCAATAAAAAAAAAAAACCAGGTTTCAATGGAGCCTTTGGCGCACGAGCAGCAGGGCGAGGGGCAAACCTTCTTACAAAATCAACATTTCAGTTTAACATCACTGTCAATTATAGAGCTAAAACTTCTGGGATAAAAGGGAAATGATGCAAACAATGAGTAAAAATCCCAAAAAAAAAATGTGCGTCCAATATCCGCAAACATCAAATCTCTAAAAGAATATTACCAAAATTTTACAATCGCTACCGAATAAAATATTAATATCTACAATATTTATATATTCAAATAAACTTCAAAATTTCGTCAAGGAAAAATCTGAAACGAAGATCTAGAAAAATAAGCAGCGATGATTCAACAAAAATATAAACTCTTAAATGTACATGCATGAAGTCGGAATTATAGCCTAAATCATAATACAATGTGATACTGTTCAATCGAACCACTGTCAGCTCAAGCTTCTTTGTGAAAACTCAAATTTCTAGTAACGAAAATTTTAGAAATAAAGGTAAGGAGAGAAGGAAGAAGAGAGATAAGAAAAAAATTCTAAAATATAGGAAATAGGTGTAAAATTGTATTTTCTCCTGTAACCACATCTTTTTGTAATAGTTCTCTAATCATTGTTACACCAACCGTCAATTTTTCAATAAAATAACTAACATGTTGATTCATATATATTGACTATAAAATATATATATATATATATATAAATGACTACTAAATTATTAACATAGCCTTCTTTTTCAATTCAACTTGTAACAACTACCTTCCCTTCAAAATAATCTTTGTCCTCAAGGATTGAAGCAAGGAAACTTTTTCTGTAACTCAATCCTTCCCAGGTTGCATCTTTTGGATAACTATTACTCTATTGTACTAGAACCTCTATGATTGCTCTACCTCTTTTCTTACTTAGTCTTCTATCTAGAATTGCTACTGGTTCTTTGGCCACCATTCCATCTGCATCAATCATAAAGAAAGTAGATTATGTTGGAACCTTCCCAATGTGCTTCTTCAATTGTGAAACATGGAAGACAAAATGAATTTTGGCTTCAGCAGGCAATTCTAGTTTGTAAGCGATAGGCCCTATTTCTTTAACACCTTATAAGGGCCAAAGTACCTAACAGCTAGCTTAAAACAAGACCTATTGATGACAGATTGTTGTTTGTATGGTTGGAGCTTAACATAAACTAAATCAACAATCTCAAATTGCCTATCAACCCTGTGTCTGTCAGCTTACTGCTTCATTCTATTTCGAGTCCTATCCAAATGAAATTTTAAAATTTTGATTGTGGCCTCTCTTGCTTGCAAACTTCCATCTACTTCATCCACTTTAGAATCTCCAGGTAGATATGGTCAATGAATGGGAACAGATTGACCATAGAATGCCTCATATGGTGTAGTCTAAATGGAAGTGTAAAAACTAGTGTTATACTATCATTCTGCTAAAGAGATCCATTTGGACCAGTGCTTAGGTTGTTCTCCTGTCATGCACCTTAGATATGTCTCCAAACATCTGTTGAGCACTTCAAACTATCCATTTGTTTGAGGGTCATAAGCAGTAAACATTTTTAGCTTGGTTCCCAATAATTTGAACAATTCCTTCCAAAATGAACTAGTGAAAATCCTATCTCTGTCAGAAACAATGATATTAGGTATTCCATGCAACTTGTACACATTATCTAGATATGCTTGAGTAATTGTAATGGCAGTGAAAGAATGAGCCTAAGTGATAAAATGGGCATATTTTATCCTATCTCTATCAGAAACAATGGTATTAGGTATTCCATGCAACTTGTACACATTATCTAGATAGGCTTGAGCAACTGTAATGGCAATGAAATAATGAGCCTAAGTGATAAAATGGGCATATTTACTTAACCTATCCACTACCGCCATTATAACATCTTTCCTAAATGACTTAGGCAAACCTTCTATAAAATCCATAAACACATTAGCCCATATCTTATTAGGAATTGGTAAAGGTTGTAACAAACGTGGAGAGACAATTTTATATTTGCATTTCTAACAAATTGTGCATTTTTTGACATGTTGCCAAACTGCTTTTTTCATTCTTCTCCAATATACCACATTAGCTATTCTCCTCATAGTTGCCTCTACTCCAAAATGCCTCTATCCATTAAATCATGACAAAATGTCAATAAATCCTTCCTTAACTCAGAATCAGCTCCCACCATAAGTTTTTCCTTCTTTTTCAACTGGCCTACTTGCCAAGTGTACTTAGAAGACTGTCCTAGGTTGTTCTTGAGCTTATGTAACAAATGTATCAACATTGGACCTTTTAACCAAGATTGTTTAATCCTAGCCATTAGATTATTAGTTACAAAAGATAAAGCATATAACATGTTATAAGATTTTGAGAAAAAGCATCGGTTGCCATGTTGGTAGAGCTTTTTTGTAGACAAGCTCATAATAAAATCCCATCATCTTGACAAACCAAAGTTGTTGAGCAGGCGTGTTTATTTTTTGGTCCAACAAAAATTTGAGACTTTGATGATCTGTTTTTATCTGAAAATGCCTTTCAGTTAAATAAGCACTCAATCTCTTCACTGCAGCTAATATGTCCAACATCTCATTTTCATAGATAAACAGTGCCTGATGTTTAGGAGATAAAGCTTTGCTAAAATAAGCAATTGGCCTACCATTTTGACTTAACACAGCACCAATTCCACAACTTGAAGCATCTAACTCAACTACAAAAGTTTAGTTAAAATCTGGTAGTGTTAGAACAACAGCTGATATTACAGCTTGTTCGAGCTTCTCAAAAGCTATTGTTGCTATTTCTTGCCAATTAAAGGCATTTTTCTTCAATAAATCAATTAATGGTTTTGCAATAGTTTCATATCCCTTAATGAACCTGCAATAATACCAAATGAGGCCTAAAAATCCTCTTAATTCTTTAACAGACTCAGGAATTGGCCACTCTTTAACACATTCAACCTTAGTACTGTCCATAACAACTATTCCCTTGCTGATCACATGCCCTAAATACTTGATTTGAGTAGCATCAAAGTCACACTTTGAAAGCTTAACAAATAAATGGTTGCTGATTAAGACATCAAACACTTGCTACAAATGTGCTGAAATTCCAGTTTGATGAGTAAACCATGATATCATCAAAGAACACCAATACAAATTTTTTAAGGAAAGATTGAAATACACTATTTACTAAACTTTGAAATGTAGAAGGTGCATTAGTCAATCTAAAGGGCATGACCAGAAACTCATAATGCCCTTGGTGAGTCTTGAAAGCTATTTTATGAACATCTGCATGATCCATTCAAATCTGAGATCCAGCTTAGAAAACCAGTAAGCAACAGATAATTCATCTAACAACTCTTTATTAAAAGAATGAGAAACTTATCTTTAAGTGTGATCTTGTTCAACTAACTATAGTCCACACAAAACCTCATGAGCCATCTTTCTTTTTCACTAGAACCACAAAGATGCAAATAAACTGTTGCTATCTCTTATAATTCAGCCTCTTTCATTTCTACTACTATATTTTCAATCTTATTTTTTTGTACAATTAGGTACCTATAAGGTTTAATCTTTACAGGTTAAGATTCATTTATCAAAGGTATCTTATGATGTTGAGGCCTTAATGGAGGTAAATTTATAGGTGTCTCAAAAACTAAAAAGTATCAGAGTAACAATTCTTGCAAATATGTGGTAATTAATTTGTTGACTAAACTGGTGTTACTTATCTTGAGATTGAGAAACTCCAATACCAGATATCATCATTAGTCCACTTGTCTTACTAACCACCTTTAACTTAGCTAACTACTCACTTGTAGCCATATGTACCTAAGTCAGCTTTTCTTTTTTATAGTTTATACCAGTTGTTTGCTATAGCAAATTGCATGGTCAACAAAGAAAAGTCCCATAGAATAGGTCTTAGTGTCTGGAGCCATTGCACCTCAAGTACTGCTTCACATCCTATTAAAGACAGCATAAAGAAATCAGTATGCTAGACTAGGCCTTGAACCTCCTAAGTTAATGCTTTACATACATCCTGAGTTAATAATTTGTTACTATTAGCTATAGTGACACTGATTTCAACAATCTTCTGAGTGTTACATCCTAGTTTTTTAATCAATAATTGATTAATGAAATTATGGGTACTTCCAGAGTCAACCAAGAATATTACTGATTGGTTCTTGATTCGACCATATAATCTCATGGTCATATGACTTTCAACTCCAATTAAAGCATGTAAGGAGATGACATGCATGTTCTGTAATTCATGGTCTTCCTTTTTAATCTTCTCTAAATTGTTTACACAATCACAAAACTCTTCAATATCATTATTATTGTTTTCCCTTTCCTCAGTAAACATCTGGTACAATTGAGCCTTGACACACCTATGACCTGATGTAAACTTAATCCAACACCACATACAAAGTCCTTTCTTCCTCTTGTCATACTGATTGGTTCTTGATTCGACCATATAATCTCATGGTCATATGAGTTTCAACTCCAATTAAAGCATGTAAAGGAGATGACATGCTTGTTCTGTAATTCATGGTCTTCCTCTTAATCTTCTCCAAATTGTTTACACAATCACAGAACTCTTCAATATCATTATTATTGTCTTCCCTTTCCTCAGTAAACATCTGGTACAATTGAGCCTTGACACACCTATGACCTGGTGTAAACTTAATCCAACACCACATACAAAGTCCTTTCTTCCTCTTGTCATTTGTTTCCTCCCGGGTTAGTATTTTGATAACATTGGATTTTAGTAGAGTTGACTCAGGTTTATTGGTTGTGGTTTTGTAGTTATGGGGTTAGTTGATTTAGTAGGCTAGTTGTAATTTAAGAAAATGTTTTTTGGGGTTGGTAACAGTGAGGGTAATGTAATTTTAAAAGTACAAGGATTATTATGTGTCATAAGATTATTATAAGGTATATAAGGTTTTTTGGATACATTGTATATTAGGGACTCCATCTGTTTGGCCAACTGGTAAGCATGGCTTAAAGATTTAGGATAAAACATTCTAACAGTATTAGAAATCTCAAGCTTCAAATTTTTCAAAAATATACTGAGAGCATTATCATCAGAAATTGAGAGTAAATTTAATAAACTCTCAAACTCCTCATAAAATTTATCAACAGTATTGTGTTGCTTCAACACTACTATTTCTAACATAGGATCAAAGAACTCAATGTCTACAAATTTAGTCTTCATCTTAGTAACATAAGTGAGCCAGCTTACCTCTTGAAGACTTCCTTGATTCTTCATGAGCCTCTGATGCCACTGTAAAGCTTGTCCCTCCAAATGCATCATCACAGTCATCACTTTCTCATTTTCTTAAGTTCGATCAGCTTTAAAAATTTGTTCGATCTTCAACAACCATCCCCTGAAATCGTCTCCAGCAAATTTTGGGCATTCCAACTTAGAGTACTTGGTTGGTACCCTTACAACTTCCTATGTTTTAGTGGAAAAGGGGTTTATGAATAATGACCCTGCTACTTTCTACATCACCTACGACAGATTTCTATTTCCTAGCCGATTGTGCTGTTGAATCTCCCACTCAACTTCTTAAAGTGAGCTTTGCCTACTGTTCATGATCTTTTCAAATATGCCACGCTTTTTTTTTGCAAAAGAATCAATCTTATCATTAAATTGCTTAATAGAGGTGTCAAATTTGGTCTCCACCTTCTCTAGCTCCTTTTGCATTTGGCTCATGTCTCTCCGCAACCTAGTTGTCGTACCCTCTATCATTGCCAAGAATTGATGCTTTGATACCAAGAATGATATTACTCAATCGAACCACTGTCAGCTCAAGCTCTTTTATGAAAACTCAAATTTCTAATAATTAAAATTTCTAATAGGAGAGAAAGAAGAAGAGAGATAAGAAAAAATTCTAAAATATAAAAAATGGATGTAAAATTGTATTTCCTCTTGTAACCACCTTCTTTTGTAATAATTCTATAATCATTGTTACACCAACTATCAATTTTTCACAAAATAATTAACATGTTGACTCATAGATATTAACGGTAAAATATATATATATATATAAATGATTACTAAATGACTAACATAACCTTATTCAATTTACTAAATGACTAACATAACCTTCTTTAATTCAACTTGTAACACAATGTATAAACATCCAACTTGTTTCTAAAACGAAAAACTAATGGATCACTGCAAACAACAGCCGCTAAGAGAAAATAAATGGCTAGCAAACAACCATTGCAAAGATTTGAGTTATATTTGGGTCGATCACTGACCTCCGGAGCTTCCGCCAGCCATTGTTCGAAGAGTGGTTGGTAGAGAAATTTGAATCAGAAAAGCGTGAACTATCTAAAAGAAAATTAGTTTTGCAGGCGTAGAATTCCACGCGGCGAATACCGTAGCGAAACAGAATAGAGGGCTATATATAGGGGTATAGGGCTCTTGTTGATTGGTCAACAAGTTGCGTTTTTCATGGCCCTCTGCCCTCATCCCATCGCATTTATAATGCAATATCTTAAAGACTTACTCTGGTCAAAGATTTCAAAAGTAACTTCATACTAAAACACAAAATTCACATAAACTTTGGTGTTTGGTTTGACAAAATTCTCCGTACCAAAAAACTATCCTGATAAACAATAAACGGACCATCGTTTGCGCCCGTAGCGAAACGAGCCATTTGTTTCAAAATCTTTTACTGGCTCCTAAATCTCTTCTGCAGTCAACCTTCCTTCCAATGTCGTTACCGGCTACGTCGGCGTTGCGTTCCGTTCCGTCCCATTTCCGAACCTTCCCCCTTCTCAACTCCAATTCATCAAAGCTTAACTCTCTCATCTTAATGTCACTCCCAGAAAAGCGCTCTTCATTCTCCCGCAATCTCAATCTCACCCGTAGTATCACCAAAGCTCCACGCAACTACGCCTCCGTCACCCGCCCTAATCTCACAGTTCGCGCCTCAAGCGAAACGCCGAGCCCCGGATCGGATGCTAAGCTAATCACGATTATCTCCGCTGTGACTATTACATTGGCCGTTGCTAATCGCGTTCTCTACAAGCTCGCACTCGTTCCCATGAAAAAATATCCTTTCTTTTTAGCTCAATTTACCACTTTCGGGTAAACTTTCCCCCTCTTATTTTCTACATCAATTTAATTTCTATTTTTTTGGGGGAAAAAATAATAAATCAATGGTATTTGAGAAATGTAGGTACGTGGTGATTTATTTTTCGATTCTGTTTATACGATACCGAGCGGGTATTGTGACTAATGAAATGTTAGGGTTGCCTAAATCGCGATTCGCTGCCATTGGTATTCTAGAAGCGCTTGGGGTCGCCAGTGGAATGGCCTCCGCAGGTGCAAATTTTTTGAACTGTTGATTAGAATTCTTGATCTGTAAATTTCAAATGTTGAATTACAACAGAGCTGTTCGAGGGTTCAAATTTCTAAATTTTGAATGCAAAGTAAATGCAATTTATTATTTGTTTTGATAAGTTTTACTTCTGACTTGTGTATTCATTTGCTATTTGTTTATTTGGTCATTTTTTACAGCGATGCTTCCAGGGCCGGCCATTCCGATATTGAATCAGGTTTCTTTTCCCATTCCTTTTTCCAGCGATAGAATATGTTGTTGATATATATACTTGTTTGGAAATGTAAACGAAGATGCAAAAGAATTTCCTTTATTGAATTTTAGATTAAATGTTCGTAGTCAATTTATATGATGTTTGATAGTGTATAAATCTAGGAATTGAAATTTCAGTTTTATTGTTTTGCAGACCTTTTTAGTATGGCAGCTCGCGTTTTCAACTGTTCTATTAGGGAGGAGGTACTCAGTTAACCAACTTGCCGGCTGCTTGCTTGTAGCAGTAGGAGTAGTGGTGGCTGTTGCAAGGTATGCTATCTGTCCTACTTTGTTGCAAATAATCCTAGCTTTAGGCGTGCCTACATTTCAATCTCGTGTAGTATAGGTTGTGAAAATGTGAACCAAACAGAAAGGCTTCTGCTCTAAATCTTATAAGAGGCAGTTGAAGATGTTATATGGCCATTACGAGCTTAAGATTAAAACATAGTATCTATTTCTTTTTTTTTTTTCTATTCTTTCTTTTTCCTTGTTTTGCATATAGTGTGCATATTTCTTTATCAGAAATTATTTGATACACTGACAGTGGAGTTTTTTAACTCCACAAGCGGAATTATGGTGGTGACACATATCTCACTTCTTTTTTAAATTAGTTTTTTCTTTTTTTTTTAAATATACACTAAGGGAAATGTGTTAGTATCTTAACCCCGCTTGTGGAGTTAAAAAACTCCATTGTCAGTGTATTTGATAGTTTCCCTTCTTTATTCAGCTGAAATTTACCTACTACTGGACACTTTATATGTTCTTGTAAAATAAAATTTTCCTTATAAAGCTACTAAAAAGGAAATGATTGTAGAAATATTCCAATCAGCATTATTAATTTGTTGCGCTTTAGCATTATAGCTCAAACTAGTTGAGTTGGTCTTTGAAATCTTGATTTTGGAAAAGAATAAATCTTTCTTACTCTTAGGGCCATAATCTGCAATGATGTCCTGGGCCACCATGCACTAGCAAACAGGTTTGCTACCATTTTTTTTTTGTCCAACAACAGATTCACTTCCGTTCTTTTTGGGTAAGAACAGGATCACTTCTTAAAAGGGACCACTTTATGTGAAAATGCTGAAGGTTAGAAAGTACCCCAATTCTATTAGGCTACTGTTTTGGCAGGACTATCATTCAGAAATCTAACTAAAGTCAATATTATTCTTGTCATATTCTGCACTTGAGTATCCTTGTACAGATATTTCTTGTTTGCTACTTGCATTAGGGTCAGATCTGATGATAGTTTGCTCTTTTTGTAATTGAAGTGGTTCTGATACTGGCCAGATGCTATCTGAAATTGAGCTTATGTGGCCAGGAGTGATGATAGCATCTGCAGCTTTTCAAGCTGGAGCATCTATTATTAAGGTTAAAGCAATTCTCATCTGTCATAAGTTCTAATGGAATCGTATAAGCAAAATATTAACAACATTTTTATCTGTCTTCAAACAGGAATTCATTTTTATTGATGCTGCAAAGAGACTCGACGTATGCCTTTTCTCTTACTAGCTTTACATATTAGCTTCTCTTGTTTATTCTCTCATTGATACTCAAACTTTCGACCAATTCATGTGCAGGGGAAGTCACTTGATATATTTGTTGTCAATTCTTTTGGATCTGGATTTCAGGTATGTTTGATGTAGTGCTATAAAAGCTTGCATTTGTATTCTATATTCCTATTGATGCATGCTCGTGTGGTCTTTCAATTATACAAATAATTGTACGAATCTTGCTCAAAATACTGTTTTTTAATCTTTTTGATGGAGCTCACTCTGATGGTATAACAATGGATTTGTTTTCCGACTCATCTTAGTATGTTTGGGTGATTTTAATGTTTCTATAAAATTTTCCATGTTTGCAGTAACTTTCGGTGAAAGGTAGCCATCCCGTGTCCATGCGCCTCCCTTCTTTAAATTAAAGAAAGGAAATTGGATCAAACTAAAAAATGGTCATTTAATATAGATCTTAGACAGTTAAAAAATTGTGAGCAATTCTGAAGTGGATTCAACTGCTTTGTGCATCAAGTTTAGCAATAATAGATGTTCATTACTAATAAATGGCAGAGCTTCATTTAAATCTAAAAAATTTCTTACATTTTAAGCTGCTGAATTCTTCATCAAGCATCTTTAGTATTTTGTATGTTCAAGTTATGCTTGTTGCCCATTGGACCTTGATACTCAGTTTTAACAGATGTTTCATTGTTGAATTTTGGTATTTCCTTGGATTTGTAGGCTCTCTTCGTGCTTCTTTTGCTGCCTGTTCTGTCAAATTTGAAAGGCATACCATTTTCAGAGCTTCCTTCATATCTAAAATGTGGTGCAGCATGCTTTCTAAAAATTGGAGCTGATACATCAGGCAAGTTCTTACATTAAACCTTAGTCCTGTACGTCAAACCTTAGTCTAGAATTATGGATATATTACTTTTCTCTTTTTTTTTTTTTCCCCTTAAACCTTAGTCCTGTAGATTTTTTTTTTGGTAAGATATAAAACTCCTAAACTTAGCACTATGGAATTTGGATGGTCAATAAGCAATTTGATCAGCATGTAAACTCTAAATTTGAGTAGTAATTCGCCCCTTGCATCACAAATTTACTGTCTAGACTCTAGGTTTACCTTTTACTTTTAGATATTTCAGGCTTAGTTATTGAATCAAAACTCTCTACTTTACCAATTACCATCTCATCTGTCTACTATAATTTCTCCAGGTTGTTGGACTTGACAATAGTTAAGGCAACTCGATTTAGTTAAAGTGATATAAACGTCACTTTTGTCCATAAAATTTCACGACTTCGATAATATGTTTTCTTCTTACTCTAGGTTTCCCTTAACTATGCTCATTAAAATAGGGGAGAAAAGCTTTTGCCGTTGGCTCTGTTCTGTAAATACAGATCATGTGAACATTTTGAAAATGATTAATATCCCTGCTTAAGTTTTTGGGCATTCTCATTAGTCAGTCCATTTCCTTTTGGTAAATTAGATTCACCATAAAATTTGGTTATCTAAAGTTGCATTTTTGTCACTCCAGGTTGTGAGGGGGCTCCATTACTTCCACTACTTTACATAGCTACCAATATGCTTTTCAACATATCAGTGCTCAATCTATTGAAAGTATCCTCTGCCGTTGTTGCATCTCTCGCTATAATATTGTCAGGTCAACTCCTCTCTCTCTCTCTCTCTCATACGATATGCATGGACATGATTAAATGTTTGCATGCATGAACCATAACATGTGCATGGCTGTATGTATGCCGTGTACCGTGGGCAAAAATATGGTACAAAAAATCTATTTTTTGCCTCGGTTAAGTGCATTTTAGTATTTTGCTAATGGATTTTCTTTATCCTCTTCGGTTCACTTTGCAGTGCCTATTTCGATTTACATTCTCTCCCTTCCATTGCCGTATCTCCCTGACGGTGCAAGCTTAAGCCCCTTTTTCCTGTTTGGTAGCTTAATTCTCATGTTGGGTCTGGTTCTGTATAACATTGGGCAAGCTGTGATTGAAGGCTCAAAAAGAGATTGATGGACATCAGATATTTCCATAGAAAACCGATTCAATTGTAAATACTACGATTCATTGTGCTAAAATGCTACCCTAGCTCTTTTTTTTCCCACTCAAAGGACAGTCTTCAGAAAGTGAAAGTGCCAAGACATTGTAAAGAATAATCTTGCTCATACACGGTAGAATCCCATGGCCTTGAGGCCTTAATCTTTTCACACAAAATTACTAGTATACAATAATGATTATTTTCTCCTTGAGATGCTGCCTTCAGTTCAATTAAAATTAAACTAAATCTTTTTACCTGAAACCGGTACCCTCTTTCTATTAACTATTCCAATCATTCTCTCTTTTACAGACTACAGCTTCAAATCCTCGACTCTCCCTATATTCTAAACAGAAAACTATAAAGCAAAATTGCCATGTACATCCAGTTTGTTGCCATTTAATGTTTCCTCTGCAAACAGACAAAGATGTCAGCCTCTATGTTATATATATGGACAATATTTGATTTATAAATAGTAAATAAACGCCAACTAAAAGTTTTACAAAGAAAATACTGTGCAAATACTGTATAAGCATGAGAGATAAAAAATGATAGGGATGCAATTTGATAGGTAAACTAAATATGTTTCTAATAAGGGTTGAGATCTCATGTCTACAAATGAGATCAATGATGATTCACTATCTTCCTTGTTTCAATATATGAGGTGTTTCATGTCTACCCACAATAAAGCAGCCGTTGGGCTATAATAAGAAGTTTCATAGGCAACAAGCCAGATCCCTATCATTGGGACTAGAATTATGAATTACGTGAATAACTTCAATCCCAACATAAGACTGAATAACTAACTGCAGAAAAAGCTATTATTTGGTGCTATTAGGTTGAATACAATTTAGACAATAATGGCTACTAAAATATAGGGTAAATGATGAGATGATAACACAAATGTTCAAACGACATAACTTGCACTTTTTGAGCTTCCCCATTCCACTGTTACCATTACGGAACCTTGTTGGTTGCTCACCAGCATCATCCCCAATGGTGAAGTTTTAATTTCATCATAGAAACGGTCAGTCAGACCAAGCAACCTGATACAAACATGGGATAAACAGTCAAATCAAATGAATTATATAAACAACCAAAAACTTAGCATGAAAGATAATTCACCAAATTTTGCTGAATGATATACACTGAGAGTAAACATGCATACCCATTTCTTGACTTCTTCAAGTGTTTCTCTATCTTTTGTCCATCTTTGTAACAGAAGCATGAGTGAAAAGTTCTTCCTCTTGCTGTGCACGCCTTTCCATCTTTTCTATACATCTAGTGAGTTCTCTACTTTGGGTTCCGATAATTTCTCTAACCTGCAATAATTAGCAAACAAAAATGTTAGCTGAATTCATAAGTGAATGCAAGTAAAGATACAAAAAGAGTCTACCAACAAACCTCTACAGGTTTCCTTCTAAATCGTCCATCATTTCCCTAATATAAGCACTTCATTAAGCTTTCTGCAAAGCTGTCTTTTCCCTTCTTAAAGCATTCCTCTCCTCTCTTGACATCTTATGATCCTCTTCCAAACTGCAGGGGCAAATTTGGGCGGTCTATAAACACCAGCACCATCCTACAATACACAGACACAGACTCAATAAACAAGACAACATCGAGATTTTAGCTAAAATAGTTCATGATATTTTTAACAATACTAGCGCCTGACATCCTATCTACTTTGCTAATAAGCATATCCAGGTTTGGGCGATAATTCAATGGATCCTCTGTCTTCTGAGGTCCATTTGATGTTTCATTTGAACCTACTTGCTGTGTAGCACTCCCACTAACCCTTGGAAGCTTTTTGTACTCAATTTTTTTGTCAATTGGCCTAATCTGTTAATAATAATAATAAAAAAACAATTATCCACCCCACAACCTAAAAATCAAACAAATACTAAATAGAAAAAAAATCCTCCAAACCTTTTCAATAAACAATCTAATCTCAGCAAGACGCCTAACATCGAGATGTCCCTCAATTGAATACCCTTTTGTCTTTGAGAAGTAAATAATAGACAAGTGATTGACAATAGCTTAGAAGCGACAAATGTTTAGCCTCCAGATAACTTATCACATTTGCAGTTGGCAAGTTATTTGCTTTCACCTATCGCCAAAATCGATAGAAAATATTGATTTAAACAAAATAAAACAAAAAAAGGAAAAAAAAATGTGACTGGCGAATTGGCGAGTTGCTGACGCTTCTTACCTTAGCAGTTCAAGCTTGTACTTTGGTAGTCACTGCATCTAAAGCCCGCTTTCGCTTCTTTCAACCCTGCAACTAACTGATTAGCTTCTCTGAAACCCAAAAATAATAATAATAATAATAAATTTATATTGGAAATATTCGGATGACAAAGATAAACGAGAAAATTGATAACACGTTACTTACTTTTTTAATCTCTCATTGTCGGTTGCCTTGTTAATCTCTTCCGTGGTTTATCGATTAATATTCACCGGTAATTTACAAAGAACGAACACACCACGACGCTACCAAGGGCCGAGAATATGAAAGAGAAACGGTAGGTATGTTGGGTTTTTTTAATAAAACAAAGAGGTTGTGGGAAATGAAAAAGGGCGGAGGCCAGGAGGGCTTTCAAAAGCAATGCTGGATCCAAACGCTAAAAGGTAAGTCGATTGAAGGTGGGCCTTCAAGGACAAGGAGGGCACCGGACTCGGGTTGCTAAAAAAATTATTTCAGCTGAATCTATGCTTTAATCTTATTAGCCCATTAATATCATTTGGTTTTACCCTGATTTGGGCCTAAAGGCTTTATTTTGTAAAAAAAAAAGATTTTTTTTTTGATAAAAAAGAGAGACTTTAAAATTATTTTGCCAATTTGCAAATTAATTAAATTACCTTAATTAACACTACTATTCATAATTGTGGTTAAATTACTTAAATAAGCAATATTTGCATAAAGGCGTGAAGTATATATAATATATATAATGTTGATTGGAAGAGTTTTAATTAATAAAAATTATTTAAATTTTATGCATAATTGGAAAAACATTTTATTAATTCTATTGATTGTTTGTTCTTCATTAGTTGGATTATTTACAAATTTTGATTGTTAAGTGCTCACTTGACAAATATTTCTTTATTAATGGAACAGATATAAAATATATTAATCAATATATCTTAATAAATTTTGTATGTAAAAACAATTGAAAGTGCTCGCTATTAAGTATTGTTTGGTTTTAAAAATTTAAAAGTATGCTCTTTCGATTTTATTTTTTGAAAAATTTTTGATTGATAGAGAAAATACGATTTTTATTTATAAAATCAAAGTTTAATCTTTAAAATATGTAAGATGATTTTTTTTTTCAAAATTACCCTCTAGTAAAAGGTGTAAATCAGGTATTCATACAGGGCAGTATAAATTTCCGTATATTATATTATTGTTGATGAAATGAATCAACACTATTAATGCAATGATCGTAAAAATTGCATCCATTATGAAATATTTTCTGTATATCTATCATGAAATATCACTGTGAAATATTGCCCGTTCTATTGCCCATAGGCTTGTTTTCTTGTCATTTAAAATGTGCCATAATATCGGGAAGATGATATTTTTATTATTAAATCACAGTTCAATTTTTTGTCCATGTAAAATCGTATCTTCTCAACACTAGCCTTTTAAAAAATCACATTCCTTTATCAAGAACATTTTTTTTTTTCAAAAGAAAAAATTGTTAGGAAATACATCTAAGTTTAGGATAACATCTCATAACGAATATAATCTAATAATACTTACATTAGTAATGTTGAGCAATTATATTTATAAAGTTTTCAATTTATTATTAAATAATAACTAAAAAAAAGTAAAAAATAAGAATTAAAAAATATAACAATAAATAATCTAAATATTTAAATGAAAATATAATTGTAATATATTAAATATTAATCTATAAATTTTTCTTTATTTTTTGAATCTTGATATTTCATAAAAATTTACTTGTGAATTTAAATTATTTTTTATTATTTTTAAATAAAATAACAAATAATAATAATAATAATAATAGAAATAGTGACCCAACAAGTAATGAGGTTCAAATTCTAGTTAAAATTTATAAAATAATCGAAATGTTAAAAACCTCGTTGGACAAATCAGATTCAGCCGCGAACCACATCCACGTCGCTTATAGGTAACGCAGTCCTTCCTCAGAAGTCATAATAAAAATAGAAGGCCAAAAAAAAAAAAAAAGCACAGTGAGGCGTTGACTCCTCCCAGTCGTCTCTTGAGGACACGTTCGCCATTTAAAATGGTCATCCAATCTCATTCACGTCTCTCATGAAAACCCCCAGACCAACACCCATCGCCCCCTGCACCATCAAACCACCCGATCCACCCCTCGCTGCTCGCCAAATAAAATCAGAAACGGATACAAGAAAACAGGAACAGTCAATCCATTTGATCACCGGGCACCTCAAAGTCTCAGATCGGATCTTCTTATGTCAACACTCTCACCTCCGATTGATGCTCCTCGAAGATTCGGTCTCATTGCTTCAATTAAACTCTCCGATCGCTTACCTTTTTTTGTACACTCAATTTCTTTAGGGTTTCATCTCCTCCTTTGCTCATTTTCTTCTACTTCCACATAATGTTACTATGTTCAGAGTCTGTTACTGTTGTAGCTGCTTTGTCTTCGCCTTCTTTTTCGAATTGGATAATTTAATCGGATATTCTACGTTTCCGTAGAATTACAGTTTTGCCACTTGAAAAAAAAAATGGCGGCTTCTCCTGTCAAGTTTCTCTTCGGATTCTTGATGGTTTCCATCACATTGTGGATGTTTTTCATGTAAGTCCCTCCAATTTTCGCTTTTTGCGGTTAAATTGATTTATGTAAGTATCGACTTGCTTATTTTTATTTAGTTTATTATCTGTAATGTTGTTTCGATAAGTTTTTGGCTTGTGTATTTCGATTTATTATTCTGTATTTGAATTTTATTTTAAATTGGAATCCTTTAACCGTTCTTTAGTGCTTCTTGGCGTTGTTTATAATTTCGGAGATAAAACGGTTTCAAATATGGTTAATTTAGTTACTTACAAATTTGTAATTGGCACTGAGAACTTTGAAGTTATGATCCATGAGTGATTGCCAAAATTTCTGTTATAATTTTTTCCCTTTTCAGATTTGCTTCGAGGTTGGTGGCTTGGATTATAAGCCGGATTATTGGAGCATCTGTTGGATTTCGAGTTGGTGGATGGAAATGCTTGAGGGATGTTGTCGTGAAGTTCAATAAGGTTTTTCTTGTACTTCTATCGGTAGTTCAGATTTTCAATGTTCTGTTAAATTAGGGCTTATAAAAGTAAGTTACTTATTAAAGCCTCTGTTAGTCACTAATAAGAGAGTCCTTAACTTGTTGAACAATTTTACTTACCTTCCGGGATTATTCAATTTAC